CGGGGAGGAGGAGCAGGCCTTCGGCCAGGTCGAGACGGTAGAGGCAGGGGCGGCAGAGGACGAGGAGTCGGGCGCGGTAGAGGCAGAGGCAGAGGCGGCAGAGGACGAGGAGACGGGCTCGGTAGAGGCAGAGGCAGAGGCGGCAGAGGACGAGGAGTCGGGCTGGCAAGAAGACGGATTGGCTTAAAGAGGTCCAAAAGCATGAAGGAAACACATAAGGCCCACAGACGACGGCAAAGCCGATTGCAAGCAACTCATGCTAATTTGTCTGGAAGGAGCAGGACGACAGATCACCTGATGCCGATGGAATCATCAGAAAAAAGGGCCAAGGTGTCTGGGAAAGGCGCATGGAAAGTGTGGACACCGGAAGCGTTACTCCGAGCAGCATTTTCTCAAGCATCATCGGCGTTGCGCCAGGTCGCCAGCGAGATAGATGGAGCCAGTGCGGCTCATGTGTTGAGCGCTCGTACTTTTGTGTCTAGTGTGCTTTTGAAGAAGCAAGAAGAAGGCCTTGCACAAGAGCTAGGCAAAGCAAGACATTGTGCAGTATCAGAGTCGCACAACCCACCTAAGCTTTGGATCTTGAACCTGATGTTCGACGAAACCGAGCTGGATCTGAGTTTGAATGGTGATGGGCCGGGCTCCTGGTCAATTCTAGCTTCTCATTCTCAATTGAGCTTCGGTTCAGCAGGAAGTATGACAGAACAGGATTTCATTCGAGTGCCTCAGGCCCTGCCCCGCAAAACAACTGCATGCATGTGGGCAGCATTGAACCTCGGAGCAGGGGGCCTTGGGCCAGGTAGCTTTTGCACCTTGGCTGACTTTCCATGTCTGCTGGTGACGTGCGACCAGGCCTCAGCAAATATCAAGTTGCTCAAACATTTGCATGCAGTTCTGCCTGAGCAGTGTTTTTTTATCCCTATGCTTTGTGCTCAACATAGGAACGGGAACGTGGTTGAGCGAATTACAAAGCTTTTGGGCATTCTGCCAGGTTCCTACTGTGTAGCAAAGTGCACCAGTAAAGGCAAAGTGTTCAAGGATCTGAGGGAAGCTGTCAAGCAACAGATTGACAAGGATTTGGTCGTCATGTCAGAAGAGCATCCAGGTTTGCAGGCCGAATGGTCCAGCGCACGCAAGCAAGCAACCACCTTCTTAGAACTTATGCTGCAAGGATTGGGCGATGCCAAACCTGAAGAACGTTCCGGAGTTTCGCAGCGGATCAAGAAGTTCGTGGACTTCTTCTTCCGCGGCCCCTGGACAGGACCGAGTGCTGGGGTTCGGTTGGGTTCTTGATTTGGGAATCAGTGGTAAATCTAGATAAATCTGGTTGTGATTGCGCACGATGCCATAAGCGACTGATTAAACTTCTGCTTTATGGCTGCCGTAGCATGTCCTACAGTTGCAAAGTCTACTTGGAGTGTCGTTGCATGTTTTGACAGTTTTGACCTCTGATGCATGTGCACTCTGCATGTGGTTCAAGATCGCGACGTTCAGCTGACACAGTGAGTGAGTGACGTGTGTCTTTTTTTCTGAGCATCCCCGATTGCAATGTCGGGGCCGTCGGGGCTTTTCGAAATGACCGATACCCAGCTCCTGGCTTTCTTGCGGACAGAAGGGTTGCAGGCTTGTTTCGAAAGCATGGACGCTCGTGCGTCCGCGCTACAGGGCCTTTGGCCGGGTCCGGAGATGACTTCACAAGAGCTCAGGCAGCATGTGGTCGTCATCACGGACCACCTCGCATGTGACACCTACGGTGGAGTCGAGGCGATCAAGTGGGCACGGAACAGCTACAACGACAGGATCGATGTGCCCAAATACTCAAACTAGCCGTTATGGCTTATAGCCTAGAGTCCTAGAGCAGTAGGCGCCCCCCAAAGCCTGTAGCCTATAGCTCTCATACTTTATGACTTACCATACCATACTACAGTCTATAGTCCTATACTAAGGCATAGGAAGCAGGAGGCAGTTCTAAGTTAGTTGCTTTAAGGCGTAGCCGGGGGTTTCGTTTTGGACTCTTGGCTCTTTGAACTTTTAACGTTTCTGTTTGGGCCCTGTGTAGGCATCCTGCCCATGTCATCTTGGACCTGACGAATGAGTTCGGTTCCAAGTTGTGGCTCGGCGGATCGAAGGCAGGCACCGACACTAACCTGATGATCAGGAATGGAATCGGAGCGGTGTGGCCTGCGGCCAAGTCGGTCCAGCCGGATGACACAGCGGCGATCCGTGTATTGAGGTACACAGATGGGACTGGCGTCGTGCACGGCAACGTGAACATGGAGAGCGTGCTGCAGCAGATCGACAATGTGATCTCCTTGCTGCACCGCGGCGTGTCGGTCCTCATCTGCTGTGTCAACGGAGCCCATCGCTCCGCGACACTTGGTGCCATGACGCTCATGCGCCTTTTGGGCTGGTCGGCGACAGAAGTTGCGAACCTCGGCATTTCAGTATAGTCACTGTGTGCTTTCCAGTGAGTCAGACGTCGATGTGTTTGCCAGAAAGGCTGTAAGAGACAAGAATCAAGTTCAGGATAAGGTTACCTTAATCTTATATTAGGCCGCATTTGAGAATCTACAGGAACTATGTCTCCACATTGCGCAACATCGTCGACCTGAACAGCAGAGCGCCGCCATCGCAGTACAGAGTGAACACTATTCGCCCCATCGACTTTTTGATCGAGCACCAAGCAGAGATCGCTGGTAAATCGGGGGCCTCAGGCCTGGTCCAGGTCGGCAGCAACCAGGAGATATTTCCTTCCACGAGATATGCGAACGCCCTCATCACCCCTGTTCAGTTTCGTCGGCGCTGCATAGAAATGGGGTTCGTCCTTTCAGGCAAGGGCAAGCGGACTCGCCAGTCGTTGCCAGGGCCACAGTCATTGATATCGTCGATGCCGCCGCCGCCCCCGCCCGGTCGCTCAAGCTCGACCCACCTTCGGTCCAAAGCTCGACCAGTCAAGCCGAGATCGAAGGGCGTTTCGCCAGGTCAGGTGCGGCAGAGTGGCACAAACACGGACTCCTCGTACATCAACGTTCCGACGGATGGTTTCTTAGAGCTGAAATTTTTATATATTTTTTATGATGAAGATAATTATAATGTAAGCAAGACAGAACGGCTACAGGTTTCGGCAAATAGTGCATTTGGTCTTGGTCCGTCACTAGATTGCCCAGTCTAGACTCTAGGACTCTAGGTAGTACACAACTCAAGTTTCATTACCGACGACTCAGAGATGCCGCACCCCAAGCGCATCAGCGAGGATTCGTCGGCCTCTGGCCAGGTCAGTGCCGCCAGTGCAGATGATGAGGCAGTGGACCCACCAGTTATGGTTGAAATTGAGGTTGCAGACGACGAAGAGAACGAGGAGCCCACCGTGGAGAAGGCCTGCGAAAAGGGTGCAGCCGAAGCAGAGGAGCCGGAGTCAGACTTTGAGATGGTGACCTGCGATGACGAAGGCAAAGTAGCCGATGTCAATCCAGAGTCGCCTCCGCAGACGCCCCGTGCAAACTGGACTTCGGAAGACTTTGCACGCCTGGAGACAGTGATGCGCGATCTGGGGCACCTGAACCGCCAGCTGCTCTCTTTCAACAATGCTGAGGTCGAGGAGGATCAGGCCCAGGCTGATGATCAGGCCTCGGCCTCCGGCCCGGTAAGTGACCAGATCGCAGAGCCAGGGCAGCAAGCGGCGGAAGCGGATGAGCCAGGCGGTTTCTCGTCTTCTGCTTTGTTGCTTAACCACTTATGATAGGGAGGGGTCTTGATGAAGGTCCGGGTTGAGAAAACGGTCTGGGTTTTTAGGGTACAGCTAGTTACTTTAGCCCTTCCAGCCCATTGTCGCCCAAGCTTCAAGACTTCAAGCCGATCCAAGGCACCAGCGCAGACCCCGTGGAATCGGACGAGGTGGCCCGGGACGAGGCCTTGGGCCAGGTTGATGATGAGCCTGCGACTCCTGCGACGGCCGAGTCCGGAGAGCCGCTGGAGCCCTCCAGTTTGGACCTCGAGAAGACGATGGAAGCGCTCAAGGCGCAGGCGGCGGAAGGCGATAAGGACGAGATGCTTGGGAGGCTTTTTGGGCTACTTGAGACCCAGAAAGTCCAACAGCAGGCTCTATTGTCGAGACTGCAATCTCGCCAAGAAATGGACGAGAGAAAGAACGTCATCTTCACAGCGCTGTACAATCGCGACATGACGCGCCTCAGGGCGGAGCTCCAAGCGCTGACGGTCTCTGACCTCGTCTCAATCAGAGACGAAGAGGGGATGACAGTCGCCCATCATGCCGTGCGTTTGGGCCTTGGGCCTTGTCTGGAGTATACTCTCCGGAAAGCCCCGACTCTTGCGGATGCCGTGACGAACCCCTCAGGTCGCCCAGCGAACTGGACGCCGTTGATGGTGTTGGTTGATGCACCACCAGGATCTTTGGGAGGCACGGACTACGCCTACGACATGTTGAAGGTCCTGGTTTCCTACATGAGCGTCACAGGTCTCGTGAATCTCGGTCCTTTCAAGTAGTGTTCGTGTTTGTAAATATGTACTTCGGTGTGTGCTTAGTAAGATTAGTAAAAGATTATTCTTGAAGATTTTCGTGCCAACGTGACACAGTGATGTATTGGCCTTGGGCCGGGTCTTGCCTGGTGATTTTGGGCAGTTTTCTCTTGTTCTAGTGTTGCTAAGGACCAGGTCTCCAACAGGGGCGACAGCGTTTCACATTGCAGCCTCTCGTGGGAACCACCGTGGGCTGCAGAAGCTTTTGTGGTCCCTCTACCACAAGAGTGGTGGTGACAGGAACTCAACCTACGCATTTGGCCTGGTGACCTCACTCGTCAACAGCCCCGGCTTGAAGCGCGGGCAGGGGGTCGTCGACGCCGCACTCGCGAACAATATCGACTTGGCGATGTATGTGAAGCGGAATTGGGGCGGGGTCGAGCTTTTGTCTCCCCCAAGCCGCGGCGGCTATGCTGCGTAGAAAGTCAGAGTGTTGGCCTCAGGCCAGGTCAGAGCTGTCGCAACCAGGAGGAACCTCCACTAAGTATAGTTTCAGCCCAAGCATGGCATGTCGATCGTTGTCTAGAATTGCACAGATGTTTTGTTGGGTTACTTTCGTTTCATGTTGCTGGGCGACAGTCTCTGACCTGAGCAGTACAGTCCCAATCTTCCACAGTGTTCCAGAGGGCAGGCTGGACTGGTACAGTGACAGCATCAGACATCAACGGCCTGGCCTTGGGCCAAGCCTAGCTTAGTTTGCTTTCGGTACAACGAAAGGTCAAAGTTGGTTTCATTGATCGGCCTTTGGCCAAGTCCAGTCTGCTATCGCTGTCGCTCAAGTCGATTTCACAAACGACGACTGCATTCCTTTCGTGTGTGATTTCGCTTGCTGTTGCTGCCACGTGAAAAAGATCACGTCGTTTCTGCCGCAATAACTACGCGAGGCTTGTGCATGGGCTGCATGGGTTCCAGGCAGATTAGTTAATGTCAAGTCAAGGCAATGCAACTTGTGATTCAGGCTACCGACATCTGAGGGCTTGACCGTTGCAGTGCAGTTTCCATACCCTAGGCAACATCCCCCTAGATGTTGATGCTCTCAGTCCGAACTGTCGTCAAGTTAGTGTTACAACACATCCTACTCTACCCGCTTTGTTTTGTGAGTTTGTTACATGTGACTATGACTATGACTCTACGACTATGTATGCGACGCTTTATGAATGCTAGCTGCTAGCTCCCTGCATGGAACCCAGGTTGCAGTCTAGTTTGCTGCTGTTATTGGCTGTTATGCAGTTATGCACTCGACAAGCTTGCATCGCAGCGTGATAAGTTTTCAATAGTTCAGCCAAGACATGTTTTGAATCGATTTTGAACCGATTTTGAAGCGATTTTGAAGCGATTTTGAAGCGATTTTGAACCGATTTTGAAGCGATTGCCTGCAGGACGGCCAGTTCACGTATGTGGAGGAGCTGATTGCTGCAAGGACCGAGCCGACTCTGTTTGCAAAGCCTTCGGCTTGGTGGAAGAGGTTTTGCTCAAACCCGTTTTGGTGCCAGCTTTGAACAAATGGACGAAGGTTGCACCTTGCATGCGGCACATTTCTGTGACGCAGAATTTTTGCAACCTTGTTCCCCAAGCCTTCGAGGCCGCCTTCGGCACATCGAAAATGGTGCCTGAAGCGCCAGACGACGAAGAAGAAGGTGCAGATGTTGGAGCCCCGCTTAACGAATCAAAGCTGTGGGCCCGATTGGCCAGGTTACGGTTGGTGAAGGCTGGGGTTTTTTTACAGGACAAGTCTTTCCATTGGTCGACAGTCCTGTGGACCGTGTTGACTGCGCCAGTCATGAACATTCATTATGCATTGTTTAAGCACGCCACATGGTTGTCAGATCGTGATCTAGAAGCACCGGAAATGCAGGAGGAGGGGGATTTGGAGTTGGATAGGTCTTTGACCGCGTCTTGCTTTTGCAAGGCAGCTGAAAATCCCGCCAAGAAGGCGATGGCGTGCCTTTCAAAGATGCTTGATGACGTCGCCAGCGACGAGTGGGGTCCCGCCGTCCTGTGCTTTGGCCCGATTCTGTCGTGGCCTCAGGCCAGGTTGCGAGTGCTTCGGCGAGGATTTTTCACTGTGGTGGGTCAACTCTGGAGGAAGCTGCTTTATCCTTGGACGCAATACCCATGGAAGCTAGCATGTCTGATCGACAGCGAAACGACCAATGCAGAGAAGCAGCGTTGTGCTCAGGATTTGTTTGATCAGCCTGTGTGTTGTTTGGATGGATTTGCTAGGAAGCTGCGCGAGGTGCGAAAGTCTTCAAACAGTTTGATGGAGGATGATGTGTTGGAGTTCTTGCAAGCAGTGTTTGAACGGATCGTTCCCACTTCCACGTATATTGAAAGAATGTTTGCAAGACTGACAGAATGGAGTGGACCAACGAATCAGAGAGGGCCGAAGAGAAGATTGTCAGCAGTCGTATCCAAGCACTGCGCGCACACGTTCGAGCACCATGTCAAGAGGTGGCGGAAGATGACTTTGAGGCAAAAGCGCAAACGTCTCCACAACCGAAGGCCTGCATGGGCGCAAGGTAGGCTGAAGGGCAAGGCGCGAAATGGTTGGCATGCTTTTGCGCAGGACTTGTTTCGTCGGCATCCTGGGCTTTTGCAAGCGTCTCGAGGTGACCGCAATGCAAGAGTGGCCGCTGAATGGGCCCAAGCCGACAAAAAGCGCTGGGCCGCTGTCGCACGCTCTCAGAACCTCCAGGCCAGTAGTGCAGTGGATCAGGAAGCGAGTGCAGAGGATGCCCAGGCCGCCGCCGATTTTGTTGGAGGTCCTTGGAATATTGGTGCCGCAGACGGGTTCCCTTTAGCGCGGCACAGTATCGCTGCTGATTGCAACAAGGTCAAAGCAATCGCAAATGCTTTTCATGCACAGCACAATGTCCTGCAGCCGGAAGAGGCCAACAGCTTGTTGGGAGCTCCGCCTGAACCGTGGCCTCTGTTCCCCACATGCACAATCAACGGCTGTGAGCATTCACTGCCAGAAAAGAAGCAAGAATGCATGCAGCATCTGCGTGCGCTGTTCTGGCGCGCCGTGCTGCAAAAAGCCCCCACAGCCAAATCCACAGGGAAAGAGCCGTTGCTTCTCTCCTTTCATTCCGCCACACTAGATGCAACTCTAAGCCTGGCTGTTGCTTTTCACACTCTCCGCGCCCCGCACCAGGCGGCAGTGCTTCTTCTCCACCCTGTAGAAATGGCTGATCTTGCAGGAGAGGGTGTTGTTGTGAGCCTGCATTGTTTTTCGCAGAGTGGTCGAAGAGAGCTTCAGCTTGAAAGCGAGAGTGTGGCTTTGGCAAGGCTTGCCCGGCAAGCGTCCGACTGGAAATTGAACGTGCTAGACGTGGGGCCTGTGCGTCACATCAACAGGTTCGACATTACAGCATCCCATCCTTTCGATGACAAAGATGGCGGCGATGCGGGTTTGCCAGTGCAGGTTGATGCTGACACTGAGGCTGCGCTTGTTGCATTCGATGCATTGCACCCATCTGCTCAAAAGAAGGGCCCCAAGAGGCAGTTCCAGGCCTCAGGCCAGGTTGGGCACGCAAAGCCTTCAGGCCTCAAGACCGAGCCAGAAGCGAAAAAAAAGCTTACCAAAGAGCAGAAAGCGAAGCGTGCACAGATTCGGGCCGAAAAAGCGCTGCAAGGTATAATTCCTATGCCCTCGGATTCAGAATCCGACGCTTCCGGTGATGGCAATGGCAATAATGTCCAAAATGCAGATGAAAAAAATGAAGAAAACATTAATGCAGAATCCGAGCTTGAAGACTTGGAGGCTCCCAAATTTTTGGTTCCAGAGGAGGAACTCACGCAGTACGAGCAACCAGCTTCAAGTAGCTCAGTCGTGCCCAAACAGCGGCAACTTCAGACACGTTCGATGATGAAGCGGGGGCAGCCATGGGGAATCTTTTCCCTTTCTCGGGGGCAGCCATGGGGAATCTTTTCCCTTTCTCCAATCTACCGTGATGGGGTTCATGTTGCTTGGGAGGCACTGTGTCGCTGCCACAACAACCTCGGGGATAAGCTGGGCTCGTCCTGCAAAAAATCCGTCTCCATAGCGAACTGAAACGTTGGCTGGTTGCAGGCTTGGACGACTCGGAGTGGCGCGACAATGAAAAGCGCAGCTGCCACCTGTCTCTGGGCGGGCCCTTGCTTGCACATTTTGCCGAAGGTTTGTCTGAAGCTGAGCTTGATGTCAAGGCTGGGGCGCGCCAGTGATTTTTTATGGTGTTGCTGGATGCCGTTACAAGAGCTTGACCTTATAATTCAGGGTTTGCAGGGTTTAGGGTTTAGGGCCTCGAGCCGGGTCTCTGAGAACCTAGCTAGAAATCCAGCAGACTTGGTTGAGCGTGGAAAAGCCAAAGCTGCAACAGCTGCTTCATGGGCTTGCGCCAAAAAATCAAAAAACGGCTTCAAGGACCAACTTTTGTGATTTGTGGCTTCAAGCCAGGTCTAATCTTCGCGAACACGCGTTCTGCCGCTATTCGAGCGGTCTGTGATCCTTCCGATTGGAAACCCAAACACGTCTTCCAAGACGAGCTTTTGTGGCCTAAGGCCAGGTCTCAGCGCGAAAGCCTAGAAATCCAGGAGTCTTGGCAGAGCGTGGAAAAGAAAAAAAAACCTTCAAGGACCAGCTTTTGAGATTTGTGGCCTCGGCCAGGTCTATATTCTATATTGACCAACGCGCGATATGTCTATGTCGCTGGTCCAGCGTTCAAAGATGAGCGTCTGTGGCCTAAGGCCAGGTCTCATTGCAAAAGCGCAAACCCGGAAATCCCGGAGACTTGGCAGCGTGGAAAAAAAAGCGGCAACAGCTGCTTCGGGCTTGAAGGCCTTGCGAAAAAGCTGAAGAGGACTATCGGCGATCGGGTCAAGGCGATTCCGCAAAGCAGCCGCTTGGAGGCGTCGTTCAAGCAGGAGATCCGTGGTTGTTTGCATAGTCGCAGACTTTTCTTATTTGGGTTAAGTGTTTGGTGATTTTGTAAACGCGCGCAGTTTTTCATGACGTAGAACACTGGTCCAGGACAAAAGTGCAAGGGATGGTGCCATCGACAAACACAAAGGATGTCGGGCTCTCAGAGCGGGTCAACAAGCGTGAAGAGCGCAGTTTCGGCTTCGACCGCCTCTTGCGAGAAGGCTTTGGAATGCGAAAGGGAGGCGCTGCATACTGCAGTGCAGGCACAGTCGGCGCCGGTGGCTACCACTGCAAGGCCGGAGCCCGGTCTTGGAGTAGAAGCCACCGGCGACGGCCGGCGACCGCTATCTTGATGGCCACACAGCCTGTAGCAAGCCAGGGAGACCGTGTGCCAGCGGCCATGACCTCCTTGGCTTGCTACAGGCTGACTCTGAAGGCGATGACGATCCATGACTGTCTGTAGCAAGCCAGGCAGGCCAAGCTGCCAGCATGGCCTGCCTGGCTTGCTACAGACTGTC